TCAACTCGAAGTTAAATCAGAGAATGATGAATTCATAACCCTATCTTACGGATGGAAGAATATTACACAACGTAACTTTTAATGTTTTCTGAAGCAACAGGTAGATTGAACTCAATGTCTAAGATCAAATTTCATGGTGGATTTTGCTTTGCCGGAAAATCAAAACCTTTTACCTCTGCATTACAAATCCGACGATGGTTTACAAATACGCGTGGCGCATCGGCGGCGTTAACTTGTTTATAATTTTGTAACGATTAGAATTTTAGTACAGTTTTTACATAATTATCTCCCTCTGAACCCCCGGACTTAGGATGTTCCTTTTCAATTAATACTGTAAACTAAGACTTCTTTAGTTCTCGACGCAATTATTTCATGCATAGTTTATGTTTTCTTTTCGACGGCAACCTCATATTTGGCAAGGTTCATAACTCTAGCATTAGTTTAATGGTGTAACAAGGTTCATAACTCTAGCATTAGTTTAATGGTGTAACAAGGTTTATAACTCTAGCATTAGTTTAATGGTGTAAAAAAAGTTCATAACTCTAGCATTAGTTTAATGGTGTAACAAGGTTTATAACTCTAGCATTAGTTTAATGGTGTAACTAGGTTCATAACTCTAGCATTAGTTTAATGGTGTAATAAGGTTCATAACTGTAGTTCATAACTCTAGCATTGGTTTGATGGTGTAACAAGGTTCATAAATCTAGCATTAGTTTAATGATGTAACAAGGTTCATAACTCTAGTTCATAACTCTAGCATTAGTTTAATGGTGTAACAAGGTTCATAACCCTAGCATTAGTTTAATGGTGTAACATGGTTCATAACTCTAGCATTAGTTTAATGGTGTAACAAGGTTCATAACTCTAGCATTAGTTTAATGGTGTAACCATGTACAGATAACAATAGCTATTCCCTTTTTGTCCCGATAATTTAGCGGATAATATATTTATATGATGTTAACCGTAAGATTTTTAATAAACAAATAAAAGTACAAACTTAAATATACGTATACATTATTACTTACAAAAATATGTATATTGTAGCTTTTAATCAACTCAAAATAAAAAACTTCTAACTCTAACTTGGCACATTTTGATTAAAGTTTCAAGATTATTATAATAACATTGATACTTAAATAGTATTTATGCTATAGCTATTAATCAACTCCAGAATGAAATAACAAGGCAACAGTGAGATTAATTTTAAAATTTATTCAAATAATATCTCTTTTAATTACATAAAAGTCTTGATTTCTGGGAATGATAGTCATATATATCGAAACGTAAACATTTCAAATTGCAAAGAAACCAAATATCAAAATAATAAAGGACAATGCATAATAAATTATGTCAACATAAATACTTTGGGTAACGCAGAAATTACTCATTTAAAGATGCGTGTATATAATGAACATCCCGATTTACCAAATTGATATCATTTTTATGGTAAACAGTCATTGATGTCACGAAAGAGGGGACAATTTATTTCTTATGTCATTTATATTAATGGAAACTTGACTGCGGTGTCATATGTGTTATTGTTTTAAGGATAAGTTTGTTTTTGTTGAAGTAGGTTTTTTTATACATAATTGTGTATAATTATATAGGACTGAGGTGGCAGTGAGAATTGAAGTGTCGGCATGACGGGTTATCATTAATTAAATTTTCAATATTACTCACGTTTTCACTTCAAATGTAAGGCTAATAATAAGTTCAGCACAGCGTTATGAACATAAAACAAGGCCATTATGCAAAAAGTACGGTCTTTATGAGAAAACCTGGCTATTATGAAATTTTAGAATTTTGATTGGCTCCCCAGCTCGGCCATTATAAATCTGCTATTTTCAATGCAAAAGTCGCCGTTTTGAATTGCTGCAAGGTAGGTTTCCGAGACATTTTTAAAACATGAATATAATTTGCTCTACCTCACACAAACGGAATTTTCATTAGTTATTTTTTGTTCACTAAGTAATTAACCTTTTTAGTTAATGTGTAGTAGTTAATGAAATTGTCAAAAATTAAGTGTTTTCATAATGGCCTTGTTATTGGGTTGAAGACTGTCATATTGGCCTGAGGCCGAATTATGAAAACACTTAATTATAAACATTATATTAACTTGTCGGACTAGTAATACAAAGTCCACAAGTCGCTTAGGTTATTTAAAACCAGGTCAGGGGCAAGCTGTTGTATAATTGAGCAGGAAGCTTTGTTTTTTAAGTGGTTGGTTCCATGAAGAAATTCAAGACTGTATCTATAACAAAACAAGGATATCACTTGAAAAATTTACATGATTTGTTACATCGACTACTTTATTAATGAACTGAAATAATGTCACAGAAAAAAGAGTGTTACACGAAGTTTGGATGAATAGGCTTAAATGATTTAAATTGCTTTAAACTATATTCAAATTTATGTTAGATTGCGTTAACATTCACAGTTAAGAACACGTTAATTAACAGACCTATTAGCTACGACTGATAAGTTCGTCTTAAAAAAAAATTCTTCCCAAAGCAGAATATGAATACTTACACCTTGTAACGATATAACACATTCGGATATTAACGTCGGTCATAAAGGTTGGTTCAGAACACGCAGGAAACAACTTTTCATTTCAAGATAATGATTCAGAATTTACTTCATCATTTCCAATTTCCTACGCAGTGATCTCCCCTTACCGGATTAGATCTCTGCCATCACAACAATTTCGTCAAGATTTTTGACGATATGATTTTTTTCAATTTTTATATTTATTTTAAAAAGTAAACATGGTTTTGCTAATGTTTCAAAACCAGTTGGTGTTAAATGTGAACTAAAATAAAAAATAATTTTGGAAACATAAATATTATGAAACTAATTTTTGAAAATTTTTATTTCCAAAACAATGTGTGAAATCACACTCTCGAAAGAGAAATCATTCAAGTAATTATTAATGTCGATTCTACGCTTTACAAAAATCAATTTTTTCAATCATATCGACATATTTGAGACCAGAGTTCAAGTTTTAATCTCGCTGTTTGTTACAGATAAATCATTTTTTCAACGATTTCATTAGCGTATACGCCATTTTAAATTTTTTTTTATAAAGTGCATGCGTTAAGCAGTAAGTATTCAATCAAGTATAAAAAATATTGTATCCAGTTTAAGAATTCACGACAAGCTATAAGCTCAACTAAAACTCCTTGTTTTCGTGTAACTGTTCATACCTAGTGAACTTAATTTGCAATATTTATACGTCTTTAAAATATTCCAAATTTTCTGAAAATGATATATGGTTTCCATTACGCCTTTATTTATATTTAGTTTCCAGGAAATGCATTAAAACATCAATCATTTTTCAAATATTAGATCGTCGTAAACTTCTCATAGCCACTAATTATGCATATCTTATGCTTAATTATATTTGTGATAAATTTTCAGCCGGAAACTTTCTAATTTCTTGTTGGCATCCCTTAACAAAACTAATGCTTGACAATATTTGTGCTAAATTTTCAGCCGGAAACGTTCTGATTTCTTGGTAACTTCCTGTGAAATAAAACAGGGATAGAGTGACACTTTCTCCTTATTTACTTCTCTTAGCAAAATGTTAAGTATAAAGTAAAGTAAAGAGATCACAAGGCAAGGAAACTGTCACAGATTGCTTATAAAATGAAGAAAGTAGCATGATTACTTGTCGATGAATTATAAACGTATGGGCTCGTATGTTCTTTGACGACCGTGCGGAATGCAAGCTAACTTTTGATATCTGAAACAAAGCAAAACAATAGATATATGATCTTTATTCAAACATAATGATGATTCAGGAAATTTTATTACACCTCTCTTCTTCTGCATCTGCACTAATTTTTTTCTACACTGAGCAAAATATTAAAAAATATTGAATAGCTAAGCAAACTTAAATTTTGAGAGGTGATTACATATAGCTATCTAAAAGTAATAAATAAAGAACATGATTATCAACAACAACAAAAAAACAAACAGATATGGTTATACAGTGTAAATGAAGTACTCCAAAAGAACCAAACGTGAAAAAAGAACGGAGCTAAACATTTCACAAACATATATCTGACATGTTTGACAATCTTCAAAATCAATTATGGAATTTCCTATAGAATTTAAGGGGTTTGAACGCGGCATAGAGAAGGTTTGTGGAAACCTTAAATGTCGCAAAATCTATATCACATTACTGAAATAAAAAAAATGTCACATGAAAATATTGTCAGACTTTATTCATCGAAGTCCATCACTTGTCATATGCAAAAATAACTGAGACTTCATGTCTACTATGAAGTACGACAATGACACTCACATGGTTATAATGTGCATAATTATGGTGCATTAGCACTCTCTAGATATTATTAAGTGTATATATGTCTGTAATTTTCCATCCCTAATCTTAAGTTCAATACTCGGGAAATATGATAAATTAGGTTCCTGAAGAACTACATTTTGTCTGTTGATTGTAATTTATTAAACCGATTTTAGCCAGATACCATTTTTATTCAACAATGTCAGTCATATTTTATCTACATGTAAGTGCATGCACATCGATGCTGTAACATATGTTTGACATATCTACTAATATATTAACTTAATTAAGTTTTCTTTCGACGCTCGGCTGGTTCCGGAAACACGGAAATGTACGAACAAATTATATTCCGTCATTATGTTTTACATATCTTAAAGGCTTGTTTAGTCGAAAAAGTATTGTCATTTCTCCAGAAGAGGTATATAATGACCAAAATTACTTTCATATGTATCAAGCTTACCTTTTGCTCATATTAGTTCCATATCTTATCAGTATGCTGACGCTATATTATCTCATTTTTATAAATGTCATACACATATAGACAAATGTCATGTATCTGTGTCATTTCTCTTTTGTTTCTTTGCAAAAATATATTGGGAAATATTGCACTAACAAAGTTTGCACTCTTACCCTATGCTACGACCGGATGTAAACAATACGTTCGCACAGGGCATGCGCGGTGGTTAAATCCCACCCATTTTACTCGATTAAATTTTAGAACAACGACTACTTTCGGTTTCAATTTTGCTGACAAGCAACGTAAGTGTTAATTTTAAGATATTATTAATTTGTATGTAGAAATATGCACACCATTTGCAGGGGTAATATTTCGGGACCTAAGAACGTGTATATCTTCTATCAAGATTGATTTCCTTTTAGTCTTAATTATATGAAAGATACGTAGTTAAGCGATAAAGAAATTGTTACTTTCCGTATATATCCTGCTGGGAAGTTGCATAACAGACTATATGCGCAATAAACAGGATTATAAATTTGGAGATCATTTCAGCAGTAGTTGAAATTATATGTTTGTTTAATAGTCTAAGCCCAATTAATCTAGATGTAGTACAAAAATTCCCTGTAACTTTGGTGATTATACATGGAGTACTGGTTAAAACCACATAACTTGGGTCAACATACCCCGGAAAGTGCATGAAATATTTTTAACATGTGTTTGATCCCCAAAATAGCCATGTGTTCTAAAGAAAGACATAACAATATCGATAATTAAACGTTGCCTCCTATCTTTTTTCGAGGTTGATTCTATGTGGAACGAGTCTTAAGAGCGATTAATAAAAGTTGTACGAATCATTTCGAAATTGAGAATAAATAAATTTGTATGAATTAAGGAACTTGTGTCACAATAAATAATCTAATAAATGTAAACTTTTTACAATTTTAGAGAAACATGGCATTTGCAGATTCCGATTGGAGGATTCTCCCATTTAAATCAAAATCTTCTACAAAAGGTAAAGCAACTAGAAAGAGAATCGAACTAAATTTACAAAATAATGACTACTTTCCCCCTGAAGGACACTGTTGCATAAAACTAAAGTCTAATGACAGTGAATCCACTTTCCTATATTTTGGTGGTGCTCGTAGAGTTCAGGAAACCGAATGGAAATTTGGACACGATTTATTTCATATGACATTCAACCATGACCCTGATGATGCGTATATCAGCAGTATACAGCGATTCGATAACATAATGGGGGCCCATTTTCTAAGCTTACAGTCTGCTAGTGCATGGTATGACACACGCACCGTTTTTGTATGGGGTGGATTAAATACAGACACATTTGAAACCAGCAATGAACTTATCAAGTTGGATTTTATTAGGAACAAATATCAGTGTACAATTTGTCAACCTGCCGGAAAAACTTCATTAAGTAAATTAGTACAGAATGGAGATATACCAGTTGGCAGAACTGGACATACCGTTACACAGTTGAGTGAAAATGTTATAGTGATGCATGGCGGATTATCTCTTCCCAACCGACATAAACCTGGTCTTGCCAGTCCGTTTTCTCAAGTTTGCAACGACGGTTCATTCTATGAGTTTGATTCAAGAACACTCCGCTGGACAAAAATCAGAGATATTCCGGATGTAATGCCTAGAGCCTACCATACTGCCAACATTGCTACAATTTCAGGGACACGATGTGTGATCATAATAGGAGGTGTGTCATTCAAAGGGGTAGAGTCTTCACCGTCGGAAAGACTAAGACTTCCATTAAGTGAACTTGTCATATTGAAACTTCATGGTGTAGCTGAGCGTAGATACAGTCTAGATAAGATATCTGCTTCAATTCCAGAAGACATATTTATTTCGTATCAAAGTGTCGTTTCATTTAATAACATACTCTATATCACAGGTGGGTTTGTTCAAAAGGAAGCAGAGATTACGGATCCCCCAACAGCCAGCAACAAATTATATGCTATTGACTTACAGTCGTTGAGTATTGAGAGTACAGAGTTAGATATTATGTACTGTACTGCTGGGAATTCAAGTTTTACTTTGTCAGATGACTGCATTATGGTTGTTGGAGGAGTTCTTGAGACAATATTTGCATATACAACCAAACCATTGAGACCTAGCCCATGTGACTTAAATGATGAATGTTGTATATCTGACTCTCCAGAAATTTCACCTATAGCATGGGTTCAGTGTGAAAGCAAATGTAAACGATGGTTACACCAGTTTTGTGTTGGTCTCCTGGAAAAAGGTGTCCCTAAAGGGAAATATGTATGCTCTACTTGCAAAAGTCAAGGTAGAAAAAGGAAATCATTGAAATAGGACAACAAAGAAATGAAACAATTTATTTAATATATACAGTGATTATACTGTAGCACATGCATATAAGTAATTACTGGTATATAGAAGTAGCATGCATGATGCAATATTTTTTTTTTTTTGCACATGTTACAGCATTATGTGCACATAAATTGAGTGCGCACACAACATTTACTTCTTTTTTAATACTTGTATACTATCTGCACCACCGTTATGCTATTGTTAGGTTGAACACATTTACTTTGATAAACGAAGCTGAACTGCTTAGTATGGTATATTTATGATGAACCAGTAAATGAATGAACCAAATATTTTGCTTATTTTTAACATCTGAATTTATCAGCAATTTCGCAGAAAAGGCGACACAAAAAGTAGTTTTTACAAATTGTTTCAGCTTATTTCAACAGAATAACAGATATCAACCTAGACCACGCGTATCATCTCGTAAGAAATTAGCCAACTGAACAAGGGTACATACATGTTTTATAATGATTACACAAAATATTTAGCGAATACATATTACTGAAACAAGACATGCATTATATGATATTGATGATATAGTGGAATAATTATAAGAAAAACGAGATAAAGAAAAACGTCTGCTTATTCCTCCTGGGATATAAGCATATTAGCTAGCTTTCATGCAAGCACACCAAACCACCACAAGTGTTAATATTAAGTTACTATGGCTACATAGTTAAATAAAATGAGTACTAGACATGTTTTACTTACTTTTTCAATATCCCCTATATTTAAACTAAGTACACAGTTTCCAGTTATTGGTAATGTCATTTTTAATGAAAATATGCTTAAAATTTTACACATTACTTTCGATACCGCTTTTAATATTTTTGACAACTAATAGCAGTTCACAAATAGCCACTCAAGTTTGAACAGTAACATCAGGAAAGACTGTGTTCATCGCGCAAGTACGTCTGTTATGACCTACCTCCAAACACAAACTACATCTAGACTGTTTCAATGTTACTAAAGCAAGACTTGTAAGTTCTGGACTACTGTAAAGCCAGTGACACCACAACACGTCCCTTAGACCACCTTGAGTGTTTCCCTTTCTTGCCATGTTTTTCCGCATATGTCTGAAAATCTTGTTCCCACACTCATTCCCTTCGCCGCTTATACCACCTACTGTACCTGGACCATCTGTGCTTTCAATTATTTCTTGAACATGTTCGATTACTTTGTGTAAGTAATTAGGCCAAGAAGCATATTCAAAATGTGCCAGAAGTAGTCTGCCCATTTCTATAGCTGTAACTTTGTATGAGGATACATCCCCAGGACATTCCTTCTTTGGGTCTTTAGCCCGGTACACTTTCCTCATGAGTCTAAATTTCTGCAGCACGCTTGACAAATGTTTCCTTCTTTCTCCCATCTGTGATAAAAGCATGTATTTTGGATTCATTTTTTTCATCAAACAATACCCTGGCATAATTACCTGGCATCAATAACTCTGGGTTTATGCCAATTGTATTTTTAAATGCATATCAAATTTAACCTCACTGTCTTTAATTATTGGCTTTACGTCCGCAGTAGCTTCCCACAAGGTGATGCATGCAGCTTCCCTTACCAAAACCTTTTTGAAAAAAGGCCCTAGGTTTATGTCAGCAAGAGTTGCATCTAAACACTTTTCAATTGCTTCAGCTTTTAAAAGAGGGGCCCTTTTTACTTCCTTGGAAATCTTGTCAATTGCCGCGTGCGAAAGGTTATCAGGATTTACCCTCATATATTCCGCGATTTCTTTAGTTTCATCGTACGTTCTTGTAATTTTGAAAGTGCCAAGGTCCTTAACCGCGCTTAATGTGGTGGCTTCACAAAGTGTGCAAAGGTATTTTATATATATACACCGCTCTCTTTCCTGTCCAACTTTTCGTCAATCATACTATTAAAAAATTTTAGACAATGTCTTCGCCATCCATTAGTATGTTGTACTCTCATTATTTTATCTTTCATGAAGGACCTTTCATTTTCAATCGGCAAAAGACACGCCAAGCTTGAAGCTCTATTGTTTTCGTCGCATATTGCTTCTAACCTAGGCCGATTAGTTCTAACAGAATTTGGCTTTTCCTCTAGGAAAATTTCAACTGGTTCATTGTCGCCAACCGCAGCCTCAATTTTAAAAATACAGAAAGAAAATCTAAATGCTTTGTCAGGCAAGAACCGGTCGGATAATTCCTTATGAATTGACACGTCACCGAGACCATCACCACCATCTTTAATGTTTGTTATCAATAAAATTTTAAGATCGTTTGGGTCAATATTATTTTTCTTAAGACCAGATACAATTTTCGGTTCAAGCTCTTTCAAAGTACCAGCTATCGCATCAGGGTAGCACCATCGAACACCTTTTATGTTAGGCGATGCAAATTCTGGCAGTAATCGATCAAAGTCTTGCAAAACATCAAGTGGCTCAAATGAAGTATATTTACATGCGTAGTCTGTTTTATATACTGCCTTTGCTGGTGTGTGATAGTAGTTGTCCGTGAAATCGAACCCTTCGATGCTATAACGCGTTGAACTTGGTGTGTATAACAGTTCTACATCGTCGATAACACTTGGAGGTTGTAAAGGATTGCGAACATTTTTCTTCAAGAAATTGTATTGGGCTTTATATTGAGTTTTACTTTGAAGCGTATCGACTCTCAAAGCAAGGCACTGGCTTGGGGTCAGTTTCGAATCAGTTGATTTCCATATATCATTTATGTCATTAAATCGGACGTCATTACTGTCTTTCAAATGCTGTTGTAACATGAAAAACAGTGCGTCGCCTTTATCCTCTTTATTTGTTTGACAAAATGTTGTTACCAAATCATTTAAACCTTTAAGGCGTCTCTGTTTTAAATACTTATTAGAACAGTCATAAATGGGTATTTTCGGAACAGCAGTCGCACTTTTAGAAGAGCTGGGGAAAAGAGCTGGGTATTTACCAAACCTACACACTTCTTCGTGGTTTTTGAATGTGTTTATGTTTGAAATACAGGAACAGCCGGTATATTTACATGTCACTGTCATGGTTTCATATAGTAATAGCAGTTGACCTGTCAAAGGTACAACATCCTCCGCTGTTATGTAACACCTACATACTGGACAGACATTAGCAGTTGTCAACCATGCAAGAATGCACGACCTGCAAAAAATATGGGAGCAACGTGTAACACTTGGATTTGTAGGTACACCTTTGCATACACTGCACTGAAAGATTTCAGCTAAAGCTTTTTCATTTATTTCTACCAAGTCAATACTAGTTATTAAACAGTTAATTTGTTCTTCAGAACTACTACCTACATCATGAAAATGAAGTCGTTTAGCAGCAGATGGACCAGCTGAAGCAGTGGTAGATTCATCTTCGCCGCTTTCAGTTTCAGAATCAGTTTCTGACCGTTGTACAGAATGCGGGTCAGAAAAGCTGAATGTTTTTCTGATATAAGTTTGCGTTTTTTCTTTCCGCCCACTTTTAGATTTACTTTTACAGAAAGTACATTTTTCACTGTGCATACAAAAATTATACACTGTTGGAAAGGTGGAAGAAAAATTCTCTTTTTTTGCACCATTTGCCTAAATTTGTAAAATCTAATTCTACAGCTCGAACAGAGTGACTTTGGATGAATCTCATCTTTATCTTCACTTATAGAAATGTCATAAATACTTCTTATTTCTTCAACATAAGCTTGTAAGGGAAATGATCTTTTATTTTTCTGAAATGTATCGCCGCATATTCTGCAAGAATTCAGTAAATGACCCTTATGTACATTCATTGTGTAGAACTTTGTGTATCACTTTGCAAATTTAGTATAAATGTTAGTTCTTCCACCTTTTCTTTCAATTTTAAGTTTTCTTCTACCAAATCTGCATTGCAATTTTTCTCCAATTTTTTTATTTCGGTTTTAAGATTTACATTTTCTGTTTTAAGTTTCTCATTTTCGCGGCGAAGATCTTCATTGCAAATTTCTAACTGTTTACACTTTTCAACTAGTTCGTTATCTTGAACGACTGTGTTAGTTGACGAGTGAACTGGAGATTCTATGTAATTAAAATCTCCCTTATTGGGATCTATATAGTTTTGCCACATAGGATCAGAGGGTTCAGGCAAAGGCTCTTCTAAACTTGATTCAAACAAGTCTTGGGAAGAATGAAGAGGCTCAGACTCTGGTGGGCTACTGGCAAATAAATCTTGAGATGAACGAAGACACTCTTGCTCGGGGGAATCTTGTTCAACAGCCAGCTATGAAAAATAAATTTTTGGATAACCTCTAGAACTAGCAAAGCACTAAATAGTTCAAATGACCTGATCAGTTTAAGTCTAGAAAACATTACATGTGTCTCTACACATTTCGGCTTAGAAAATAAAACAAAGCAACTTACAACAAATATCGGCTTGTTATATAATAGCCATTAATCTTTTCTTCAATTGCCCAGATAGACTTAGCCTTTCAAATCATTTGAACTATGACACTAGACATTCATAATGCAAGATTACATTAGAGAAGCATAGATAATATGAATCCTTTCACCTGCAGCACAATTTTTATAAGTTGAGACACTATGATTACAAAGGAGCACACTGTATTAAGTGTATTAAAATGGAAGCAAGAATATATTATATACAGCGTGCCAATTATGGGGCCTTGTTTTACTACCAAATGCACCTTTGTTATATCACCAATGTAAATACGGGATATCACCAATTCAAATGGGTGAAATAATACATATGTCTCTATAAATGATATTTTCGAGTAGATGACTTCAACATTTGTAAAAGCTAAGCTCGATCATGTAATCGTACTGGGTATATTATCTATACAGATATGTGGTTCCATTTGAATAAATGATCACGCTAATTCTTATGTGTGATATCATCAATATGATTAGGTATTATAAGCCATTCAAAGGGATACAATTTATCACCTGTTCGAATGGGATATATCTAGATTCGTATTGGTGATGTCACATTTAGAAATAAGTTATAACATCAGTTCGAATAAGTGATATCTGAACAGTGCATTTAATAGTAAAATGATGTACCGGAGTCCGTCACCTTGTATTAAAAGTTAATGTTAATTTACTAGTTACACAAAAGCAAGTATAGTAAATGTGATTATAGTAACACTCTCAGTGCCTTTGGACTTGGTCGTCTTTACAAACATCATAGATTTTGATCATTCAAAGGTTTTTTCACCGTGAGATCAAAAAATATACTGTTTGGCATTCTTATCAAAATTTCTGAGTTCGTCCCTCCCCAAACCCGAAAGTGAATCAGCTACAACATTTTTAATAAGTGGATTAATTTACTACCGAGGCACTGAAAGTAGTAGTTAGGCGATTATATAATACAGTACTACAATACCGAATACAAGTGTGTACAAGCAGCAAGATATAAGCTGTACAGTTGGGGTTTCCTGACTGGGCTTTATTAACAAAAGTGTAGCAAATAACAGGTAAAGCACTCCCTTTAACCAATTTAAAAACCCAGCAAGCAAATTCTTGGAAATGAAAGGACCCTGGAGTGTGTGTCTGTCTGTCTGAGAGAAAATAAACTTAAAATTCAACATCCCAATGGGGCCTCATCTTCAAATTATTTTTTTTTCCTTCAATGTATATTTATAAAGAACTTAGTTGTGTACATTGAGTTTGAGACAATAACAATTCTGAAGTTTCTGTAAAATATAATTATGTAAGAAAATAACTATGTCCCGTGAAGTACCTCATTTTTGTAAAATTCCAGTTTCTAAATTTTTAGTTGTTAGAGAATATAACGTTGATTATTTGTGCCGACATAATCAAATTCTTATAAACCTTTTAAGAGATCGAATAGCATTTTTTTACATTTCAACACCCCATTAGAGCCTCATCTTTGAGGGTTATTTTTTATTTTTATTTTTTTTTTGGGGGGGGGGGGCATCTTACTTGTAAAGTTGATTTTAAAATCAGTACTATTAGACACTCCAGGACCAGCTTGCAGTATTAAATTGCCTCATTGGTTTGAGTAAATCATAATTATTCACTGCATTTTCAAGTACACCGCTTAATATCCGTTACAATGAAAGTAAAAAAATAATACTTTCTATAACGATACCATTCTGAAACTTAAAAACTATTTCTGACATAAAATTATGAAAAACATTAGACTTTTACCCCTTCCTGCTTCTTTCTCTTGAAAACAGGGGAATCACTCATATTTGTTTTTCACTCATATTTGTTTTCTTCTGAAATAATAAAATAACATATGTCACAAGCTCTACTGTGCTAAATTGAAATGTCCAAAACTTTGCACTACACGGTGTAATCTTCATTACATATCCGGTATTATCACCGTCATGGTAGTTTTTATTCCAGTCGGTCAAAATGACGGTACACATTTACATGTAAACAAACAGATTTAACTTCTCAGACAATTTAAATAAGGAATGGACACACGGTAAACTCGGTTGCAACGTAAAGTATATTCATAAACCTGTTTGAGAATAATTGTCTCCGTGTTCAAATAAATTTCAAAAACGGGGAAAAAAGCAGTCTTTTACCGATACCCCTGCAACAGAACCTTATTGTTCTGACGAATTAAATTGACTTTATAACGCTCGTATACAATTATTTATTGATCGATTTTCATTATATTTATTTTGTAATACCTATCATTCAATATGCAATCAAACAAAACCAAGTTTTCCTACATTCAAGGAAACTGTAAGTTAGGACGAGCTTTCAAAACGAACAGGTATCGATTTCCAACACGCTTACCGAAATTCTAACATGGCGGCTCAACCTGGCTCATTTGCATAATTTATTCATAAACGCAGGAGCATAGAACTTTGTTAGTGTATTGTTTGGGAAATCTGTCCATTTGCCTTCGGAATTCCTTGCATAACTTGTCTAGCTTTCATTTTTAACTTTTTAACATTTGACCACCCATGAACAATGTAAATAACTAATGTATTAATTTACATTATTACTTCTTCTGTTTTTAGTATAGCTATATTAATCGGCACTAGATTAAAATTACTATATAAAATCTGGTAAAATTTTTAGTTGTAAATTTTAAGTCTTTCGAAGATATAGTAGTCTATAATTTTGAGAATAATGATTCATATAATATCTTTTCAAATGCAAGTGAAATCTAGTATTAAAATGATAAAAGACAATGTTTATATCAACGTAAATGTTTAAAATCATATGGGAATAATTTCTTTAAATATTTTGTTTTGTAATAATCAATTGAACATACCATTCTATGAAAAGTCATAGATGTCACAACAAAGACCGAACTATTTTTTTTCCTATTTCATTGTATATATCTAATGGAACCCTGTCTGGAGTGTTAATGGTTAAATTACGTTTTAGACTAAGTTAAGAAATATATTTTATTAGTTTATACAGAACTTATAAATGTCCGCTTGTGTAGGAAACTTTATTCTCTAGAACACCTTCTTAAATCTATCCCAAGATCTTTACAGTACTAAATAATGTGTGTAAAATTTCTTGCTAAAAAGTAAAATTTCCTTTTTATTTAAACAAAAACAAAACGATTGTTTTCAGAAAGATTAGTCAACAAAATGAAAATAACGGTAACAAACATAAAATAGCAAACGACCCCCTCCCCCACTCTTGAAAATATAATTAAATCATATACTTTAAGCAACAACAACAACAACAACATCATAAACATTATACATTTCTTACGTTACTGATTGACATTATACGTTATCATGAATTATGATTATTCTTACAAAATCCTTTGATTAGTTAACTGAAATAATTTTACAGAAAGGTTGTTACATGAAGATTGGATGAATAAGCTTAAATGTTTAAAATTGCTACAATCTAAATCTATCTTCAATTTTGCATTGCGTGTAAATACACTGCTGTTAGGAACAAGGGAATTAAATAACAAATTAGCTACGACTGATAATGCTTCTACAAATTAAAATAGAATTCTTCCCAGCACAAAATATGATCAATTTCAAAACTGGCTACCATAAAACACCCTGAAATATTATTTTCTGTCGTACACATTATTTAAGAACTAAAGATAATTCCAGAACACGCCATAATCAACTTATTCATTATAAACATTTATTCCCAAGATTTATATCATCATTTCTTTTAACAGGGTTGACATTCCACGTGGTATAATTATGACATCACTCTCAAGGTATATATTGCCTCAATAATACAACTTGTTTCTACTCATGTTAAGCAATTGGCAATTAGTAAACTTCGTATCTGTGTTTAATTTTTTGTATGAGAGTCAAAATACCACTTTGTTTTCATTTTGCTACAATAATCACAAATTATTTCTTATAAGCACTGTTACTGTTTTCCTCATGTGCTAAGCATCTTATATGTTCTTAATTTATTACTACAACATAAAACACATAATAGCGCTTGCTACAGAAAGGGACAAAAAATAATTTTTGAAGTTAAATATGCCTTTAACTTACAAAATTACAAAATCATTGCCTTGATTAATGGATTATGGCGTAATTTCTATTATTTCCTCA